CATAAATGGTTGATTTTCAATATCACAATTTTCCAAAGAATCTTGCCCTAGTTTTTCTACAGGTCTTAGGCATTCCATTGTATGCCTTGAAGGTGGTATCTTGCCCCAAGGGTCAGTGGTTCTTAGTCCACCATATAGATTTTCTAAATAGTGACCTCTGCTTTTCCTGCCTGAGTCCTGAGAGAGGTAAAACAGAGAGGAGTGCCTTGCCTCATGTCATCAAGAATTCCCCAGGCAGGTTGGGGCAGTGTACATAATAATTTGCAAGTAAAGTCTGTTCTGTTTCCTCTGAGGTGAGGGATGCAACTAGTAGAACTAGGCTACCAACACTTAGAGATCAAGACAATGGCTGCACCAGGGAGAGGGTGGAATCTGGGCAAGTAAAAATGTACAAATTTTCCTTTGACTTTGAAAGTGGCTTTTTCATGATTGGTCATTTGGCTTGGTTGCTCTAAAGTGTTAACTTTTCCAGAGCTCCAACCAAATTGGATCTGCCAGAATCTCCCTGTTTTTCAATGCTTCTGTTGGGGGTTGAGAGCTTGGAACTTCCTAATTTACTTCAGCTCATGACTTTTTGATGCTGAATTGTATTCCATTGGGTAGCTTTTGTCTAGTCATAATCACTGACTTAAAATTGAATTTGGGCAGTGTATATCTCTTCTGTTCCTTCCTCAGTTCTTAAAATATGTAGTAGAAATTATGTATGGCATTATTATAGTAAGTTCTATGTTTGCTAGAAGAATTCAAGAGTCAAAGTTCCCTCTGTGTTTCCTGTTTCTCTTCCTCTCCTCTTTCTTTCCAGGTCCATTTGGTATTTTCATGCCCACATGTGAAAAAAATCCACTCAGTGGCCCATTCTAGAATCTCAAATATTAAGTTTAGTTGAAAATAAGTGGCATATACAGGTTTAGCATTGCATATCAGGTTATAGGTCTAGTCAGTATCACGTTGCTGCTTGTGGTGGTAAATACTGAAAGAAAAAATATTTTAAAAATTCTATCTTCCATATTTACAGTATTGGTTTTCAAGTCAGAATTTCACAATACCTTGCTCCTAATAATAAATTATATAATTTTAGAATGTTATATATTAAATTTACTAAGAATATAAGAGAACAATAATCAGTCTAGTCTATTATTTGTTTGAGAGAAAATTTCTAAAAGATGATCCTTGACTATAGTTATCTCAAAAATATGATTAAGGTTTTTTGATGCATATGTGTCTGTTTATATGTGTGTGTATTGGAGGCAGGAATGCATGTTAAAAGCAGCTTCAGTGTGTTATGTGTAATAGTAATGAAACATTTGTTTGCAGAGTTTGTTTAATACACCATAATTTTTAGGTTCAAGTGAAACAAACAAAAAGGAAATATGTACACATGTATACAATTCTGAGATTGAAGTTAGTGTTAAAATGTAGATATAATGTGAAATGTGTCCTCAGAGACTATGTCATTTGTATTATATTCATCTAATATACCTATTGTTCCTAGTAGAGAGAGCAACATCAGAATTATTACATTCTAAATACAGACACATCCATTTAGTATTTACAAGTACAATTGACTTACAAAAACAGATCTCTCAAAGCTATAAGGCTTGGATGATAATCCAACTTCGTTTGAGGCTTGGATGATAATCCAACTTTGTTGACTCCTGTTATATTGATCCCAACACAGGTTTTGTAAAACTACGTAGTGGTTTTTTTTTTTTTTTAATTATACATTCTTCAATTTAGTTCAGTCAAGAAAGCCTTAGATTTTCAATCAGAAGTGAAGGAATTCTCCTGTAGGATTTAGGATTCTATGTAATTTAAAAAATGGATTAATAGAAGTGACATTCTTAAATGAATTTAAGTAACAATTATTAAATTGAGAAAGGTAAATATGGAACAAGAACACATTTATTACATTGCTATGATTTCTAAATGAAAAGGGGAAATATATTAACAGAAGAAAAATTAAAAAATAATGCCTGTATGGATATGAAAATGAAAGATTATGTAGAAGACATGCTAGTTTTCAATTTTATTTAACAATTTAAAGGATTATCTGTTTTTGTAGTATAAATATAAAGAGTACTTCTTATAGAACAGTTTTTTAAAAATACATTAGAACACAAAGGATAAAGCTCTTCTGTAGCCATGATATACTGCACAGTGGCATCTACTGGAAATATTTTAAAGTATATAATTCCATTTCTTTTCTATCCTGGTATGATTTTAAGTCACACATGCCTACTGTTTCAGCTTTATTGAAGTATAATTGATGAATAAAATTATAGGATATTTAAAGTATACACTGTAATTATTTGATACTTTGAAAAGATACTTCCCATCTGCTAGTTAATACCTCCATCACTACACACACACACACACACACACACACACACGAATACATATTTCACATTTAGCATTAACACCTTAATGATCCATCCATATTGTCACAAATGGCAGGATTTCCTTCTTTCAAATAGCTGACCTATATTGCTCTTTATTCCTTTGTCTCTTGAGAGGTACTTAGGTTATTTCTACTTCTTGGCTAGCATGAATGTTTCAATGAACATGGGAGTGAGATATTTGTGGGAGATCTTTTGTACATTTTCTTTGAATATATATGCAAAAGTGGAATTGTTGGATCATATGGCAGTACTATTTTTATTTTTTGTTTAGGGATATCCATACTGTTCCCCTGAGTGGCTGCACTAATTTACCTTCCCATTAACAGTGTAAAAAAGTTCCTTTTTCTCCCAACTCTCACCTACATTTGTTATCTCTTTTCTTTTTGTTAATAATCATTCTAACAGGGGTGAGGTAAGATCTCATTGTGGTTTTGATTTGCCTTTCCTAGATGTTAACTGCTATTAAGTTGTTGAGCATCTTCTCATGAACCATTGACATTTGTCTTCTTTTAAAAAATGTCTATTCAGTTCCTCTGCCATCATTAATCAGATTTATTTTGCTATTGAGTTGTGGGAGCTTTTTAAAAATATATTTTGAAAATTAAACCTTTATCAGGTATATTATTTTTAGATATTTTTCTTACCTTATTGGTTAGGTTTTCACTTGTTGATGATTTCCTTGTTGTGAAGTCTTTTTGGGAGGTGAGCTTTTTATTCAGTTTCATTTGTCTACATGAACTTATGTCTATAAAGTAAATGTCAACGTAGTGATTATATTGTATGTATAGTATTTCATTATATTAATGGTGGATTAACCTGTCCCTCATTTATGGACACATCATTTCTAACAATATGGTCCTTGGTTATAATACTTTTATGGGCATTCTCTGTGATAAAATTTTCCCACAACTTGTATTTTTCTTCATACTGAATTGCTCTTTTTTGCTTTTGCTTTTTGATCTTTATTAAAATTTCTTTAAAATCGTTAAACAAATATAATATATACATTATATATAATATAAGCCTAATGATGAATCAAATATGAATAATCTTTTCTTCTCCCATACAGTCCTACTTGCCTATGACCATCAACATAAAAAAATTTTTCTATGCTCATTTGAATCAAATAAACACATTTATATATATTGCTTTTTCTTGTTTTTATCTAACTTTTCTCTTGCTCTTGTTTCTTCTCATTTTCCTTCCTCTTTTCTTATTTACATGCTATTATAAGTGTCCACTACTATGCAATTTGTTTTTTTCCCTAAACAACAAAACAGTTAAAATCTCCCTTCTAGATCATTCTTTAAAGGATTCTTTTTTTGAAATGCATAGATATATAACTACCCAAGTGAAAAGATGCTTAAGTTGCAAGGTTACACAGTACAGTAAGCTTGTTTCATTCTATAGAAAAGATGCAACCATGAATGGGATATTGTATACTTCCATAATAGTAATTTTTCATGTATGCTTATTATAAGTGGTGTTCAAACATTAATGATTAATATTTTCCTCCCACTTGTCTGAATCCTGACCCAATTCAATGAAATCATATTTTAAAATATAGAATCAGAAATTCAACAAATTAAAAATTATTTATAATATAGGCAGAAAATCAATGGAGGATATATTTTTGATTAAACCCCTGCTCTCATTATTCTTGACTTTACTGAGATCTTTGAGTGAGCAGTAATGTTATTATTCTTTTAAGTCAAACCAACCTTGTACTTCATATGTTACAATACAAGATTTGATATATTTTTATGATTAGTTGTAAGACCATTGGATCTGAACTGCACATAAATGAATGGAAAACTTATGACAACTGTTTATATCTGTGCTTATCTTGTGTGGTTTCAACCAGGCTGGCTCAAATATACATTAATTTCTGTGAGGTTATGACTCCAATGAGAAAGACATATGTCTATTTCTGTTCACGTACAATATCTATTTCTACCCAGTGTAAATACTGAGCTTTCTTAATGCGAATCCAATAAATAGCAAAAGATAGACTGTTGGTGGCTACCCACAGGTACTTCTGTAAATAGAACTGGTTTTTACTTGAAAAAAAAGTCAAAGGGTGGTGGTGCTACCAATAAACTTAAGTCAAACTTTCAATAGTTGGGTATATAAATTTTATAAAGGGATTTTAGCCTTTGAATGCCATTTTGTTACATCTACCTTTGATTAACAGGTGTCTGTTCTTTCTAGCGTTATTTCTTTTCTTATGTACCTGGTTATCTAGACTCTTAGTTTCCATATACTTTATATCTTTCTTCACTACATTCTCAATTCTCATGTGAATTTTCACTCTAGACTACTTAGTTATAATTTTTTTTTAATACAGTGGCTGTTCCTACTTTGTTTCCAGAGTGATAAAGTATTACTAGTACATACCAGATGCTTTTAAAAGGCTTTTTGTACCGTTTTTATTTTGGCAAACCTATTAGAAATATATATATCCAGTTCCAATTTGCATGTCCTCTGTGGTTTTTGCCAATGTAAATTAATATCAAACAACTGTATGTAACTGCTCCGCCTTAGGTCAGGCTTGAACTTATCACCCCTAAGGGTATACTGGCAGAAACATAGCTTCATTCACCTCCCAGCATCTCTGTGGGCTCCTCTTCGCCGTTCAGACAAAGAAATCATCCAAAGGCTCCATAATGTCAAATTCTGCAGACTTTGAACAGTCTCCAGGTATTTTGTTAATCTAAATATCCTATGCTATTTTATTAAATGTTTATTTAAATAACTAAAATGACATTTTAGGGTTTTATGGTCTGTCATTGCTACTTGTTATGATTTTAGTAGGGTAATAAATACATACTTTCTTTAGTATTTTCCAGCTATACCTAAAAGAGTACTGTTACATATAGTTAAGAGAAATAATTATGTATTGCTTGGTTAGATCCAAAGTGTAATCAATTAATTTAAGTAGTTTTAGGAGAACAGGATGGGCAGTTGGATAGAAATGTGATTTGAGTGTCTCGCAGTTTACTACTCTTATACATGTATTTCTATCAATCTTTCAAAATAGTAATAATCTCTTAACTTGCGTTTTAATCTAATTTGCTTTACAAAGTTATAAATTAGTTATATATATTCTGTGTTAAAGAAATCACCGAGCAGACAGAGATAATCCCTATTGTGGACTTGGAACCACCTCATGTCTTTCCTCCCCCTCCTTCTGCAAAGGATGAATTGGGTCCAATTCCTGAGCACACCAACATGAATGGTAAAGCATATATACTAGATTTTATTAATTTAAGTTCTTTCTGTGTTATTTTTTTTTGAAAGGTGCACATCGTGCTTTATTTTTAGGATATGAAGATTCAATTTGTTCATCAAGAGTGTATAATAACTTTAAATTTTCTTACAGAGAAAATGTCAAACATTCCTGGGATTAGGAAGTACAGGATAAAGAGCCCCCAGATAGCCCTTACTCAGCTTCAACAGTTATCAATCCATGAGCTATCTTGTTACCATTCCTGCATTTCCCCTAAAAATCCCCTAAAAAATTGTTGTTCAGGTAACAGCTGCCCCCCTTTTCCCCACTGCTCTCCTCTGCACGGTCCCCATCCCACTCCTACAGTCAGTCCCTACCCAGTTGTCCGTGCCCATTGGTCCTCTTTTCATGTTCCTCGGCTTGCCCCTTCCCCGCTTTTTCCCCCTATTATTCTCCTCCCCATCCCTTCTGGTCACTGTCATTTTGTCCTTTATTTCCATGTCTCCGGTTCTATTTTGCTCACTTGTTTGTTTTGCTGATTAGGTCCCACTTATAGGTGAGATCATGTGGTATTTGTCTTTCACTCCCTGGCTTATTTCACTTAGCATAATGCTCTCCAGATCCATACATGCTGTCATGAAGGGTAGGAGCTCCTTGTTTTTTTCTGGTGCATAGTATTCTATTGTGTAAATGTGTCTTCATTATCACTTTACTTTGATTTTACTTTTCTCTAAGTTGTTACTAGTTGGATATCTTAAAATTTAGAGAAAATATAAAGGGTAACATTTTTTTAAAACATATATGGAAGTAAAACAAAATCATATTTTCTCACAGAGATGTTTGAAAATTTCACATATCAAGAAACATATTTAATCATAAAACAAGCCATTTGTCCACATTTGAACTTGTTTCCTAATGTGAAACTGAGAAACTTAAATGTGACTAAAGTTTAAGTTTCAACAAGATTGAAATTGAAATACTTAGGGTATAATCTCGGCAGTGGAATTGCCAGATCAAATGGGAACTGGAAGGCACTATGCTAGGTGAAATAAGCCAGGTGGTGAAAGACAAATACCATGTGATCTCACCTGTAAGTGGAACCTAATCAACAAAACAAACAAGCAAGCAAAATAGAACCAGAGACAAGGAAATAAAGAACAAACTGACAGTAAGCAGAAGGGAGGAGAGAGGGAGATAACTGGGCAAAGAAGGGGAAGGGTCATTAAGGAACATGTATAAGGACCCCTGGACAAAGGCAGCGGGGGAGGGAGGATTGAATGTGGGAGGTGGGGGTGGGTATGGCAAGGGAGACTAATGGGGGAAAATGGGGACAACTGTAATTGCACAACTATAAAAAAAGTTTAAATTTCAACAAAATTGTAAAGACAAAAAAAGGTAGAGCCCTACTGCATGATTGTTTCCTTTTGATCATAATTCAACTTAATATTTAGTAGAGCAAAGCTTCTCAATTCAGCACTAATGATGTTTTGGGCTAGTTTGTTCCTTGTTGTGGGGGTCTGTCCAGTGATTACAGGATGCTTAGCGCCATTGCTGGCTTCTGCCCTCTAGATGCCAGTAGCACTCACCTATTACTTATGACACTAAGAATGTCTCCAGACACTCACAATGTCTCCTGGGGGACAAAATTACCTCTGGTTGGTAATCACTGAGTTATATTATTCAGAAAGTTAAAAAATGACTTAGACATTAATTATGGATATAACCATTCTCTTTGGTAGGAGCTTTTCGCTTCATTTCAGAAATATAAGGAAATATGTTTTTTACACTAGAGTTTATAAGTTTATTTCAGAGGGAAACAAACATACCAAGAGAAAGGACTACTAACAATGATATCTGAAAGTTTAGTTTCTAGAATATGGGGATGTCGCATATTCTTTTTATGAAACTGAATAAAGTATAGATGTTGTTAGGCCTAAAGCCAAATTATTTAGTGAAAACATTACCTAGGATTTACTATAATTCTTTATGAGGAGAATATACTATTAGTCATCAATTTTTTTTATTTTTTATTGTATTTTTTACCATATACCATTAGTCATCAATTTCTAATGAAGAATTCTATCTTAATAATAACAGATTTAAAATAATTAAATATTTTCCCATCTGATCCTATTAATGAGGATAATATAATCTTACCTGGAATTTTACACCTGGTATTTAAGGATATTTAATAATTCCTGTGTGTGTGAAGTCCTCAAGATCACAATGAGGTTTGGTGATTCTCTGAAAGAACTCATAGAAGTCAGTACACAGTTGTACTTACAGCTTAGATTTACGACAGTGAAAGGATAAAAGCAAATTACCAAAAAGAAAGGTATGTGAAGGGAAGTGTGAGGGAGACCAGGCTCAAGCTGCCAAGGACCCTCTCCTAGTAGAGTCACACAGATCAGGTGAATTCCCCCAGTAACAAGTCTTGACATCGCGCGTCAAATGTTGCTCTCCAGGAAAACTCAGTAGAGAATCAGTGACTATGTCCTTGATTGGGGGCTGATCACATATATAGCCTCTGGTTGGCACATAACAAAGTTTCAGACTTCCAGAACAAAAGCAAATGTTCAGTACAAAGTATATTGTTTACAGAAACAGTTTAGACACAGGAGGCCACTCTTACCAGTTAATGGTGGTGAGAATACTCCTGAAATCTGTTTCCAGATGCCAGCCAAGGTCATCTTGTCAACAGGCTTTGTAGGACAGCGGCCAGGTCCACTATGTTAATTCTTTTCTTCCTATCTTCTTAGCTTATTGTTTTTCTCATTCAATCTAACAGTTCATAATAATTCATGCATTGGACATTATCCTTCAGAAAATTAGGACATTTTAAAAACAATAATAAATGAAAAACAATGATATTAGTCTTTCAAATAAAAGGAACTGACATTTTCTCTGACTATCGCTCTGTTTCCCAGACTCTACCTTTCCCTCTTCGCTATGTGGAATAATGCTTGTGATCCTGGGAGTCTTCAGCCTGCTGCTCTTGGCCTTATGTGGATTCTTTTGTTATCAGTGTAAGTTCGATTAATTGGGGGAAAAGAAATAATAGCCTATTTGTCAAATTATCATGTTTCTTTAAACAATTTTCAATCTCTAGTTTTTTGTAAATGTATTATTGCCATGATGAACAGAGAACAGGGAAAAAAATGACATGAAATTATCACAGGTTTTTACTACATAAATGAATTTAATCTTGTAAGCCCTCAACTATACATTTTTTCTCTAGAGAGGATATATTATTGCAATACTGCATAAGATATTAATATTAATGGTTATTATTATTCTTTTGAAAATTACAATATACTAGAAAATTTAGTTCACTGAACTTGCAATTGTCTTTACTATGAGCATAGAAAAATTCTTTGACAATTTCTTCAAATTGTTCATGTAGCCAACAGTCTATATTAATTTAAATGTTTTAAAAAATTTTTATTTACTTTATTTTTTATTGTTGTTCAATTACAGTTGCTCCCATTTTCCTTCCATTACTCTCCCTGCCCTACCCACCCTTACCTCCATGTTTTCCTTATTAAAATTATTTGCTATCTGTTATTTAAAAATAGTAATTTTTCTTTGATCACATTAGTTTGAAACTTAAAATTCTATACTTTTGTTTAGCAAGTGAAATTATACACATTAAATCAACTAGTCATGATGCCAAAAGACCTGAGACAACTGTAATTGTTTTTGTCTGCTTTAATTGGTTTGACCCATTTTTCTATTGATAGAAACACATTTAAACATAAGAAATTGAAATGATATTTTTAGATTTAGACTAAACTTTAGAAATAATAGTGAGTAAAAATATACTTAGCTAAATATCTTTACAGTTTTTGAAAACATTTGTGGGAAATTTATTAAGGAAAAAACTATAAAAATTAAACTTCATAATCTAATGGACTACTGATAATTGAGCATGTGCTTTATACATAACTGGAATTCTTATTCGTAGATTTTCAAAGTGTCCAAGCATTAGAGAACAAGATGAAGAATCTTAATCAATGGGTTGAATCTTTCCAAAACAAAGCAGAAAACTTTCTTCAGGTCCAAAAAGAACTTGATGAAATTAAAGGTAATATCACAACTACAACAAACTCTCTTTTCAGAATACTACATAGTTTTCCTTGTTGCAACTGTCAAATGGTTGGTTGCATTATGCGGGTGGAACTCTCCAATATAACAGCTTGGTCGTTTTGATGGCTTCTTGCCTCTTTAATTCTTCATTCCATCTTCTGAAGCTGAGCCTCACATTTACCAAAAATAGCTTCTTATATTAATTAACTAACTCATTAACTCACTTATTTATCACATTTATTCAATGCACACTAGATGCCAGCCACTAGGCTGGGGATCAAAAATAAATATAAGAAGAACCCTGCCCCTGGGAAGCATAGAGATATGCGCAGGATGTTCATAGGACATGAACATGTAAGAACTTAAATATCTGAAAAGCGATCATTTTTTTCATATTTTCCAAATGCTTCCTAAGGAAAGGAATTTAAAATATTGGAGTAACCAGAAAACATCTTTTATGCTAATTAAATGGTAATATAAAAGTAGTCTATGTTTATGATAAATTAAGTATTTGGCAAAGGCCTTGCATTAAAATGTTATTTTTTCTTGTGATATATCAAACCTATATTGAACAATTAAGTCAACCTTTTGAGAGTTCTTTAATGACTAGTCATGTTAAAAGACTGGTTTCTGTTTTGTTTTAACTGAGATAAGATTGTCATATAATGTTCAACTTTAAGGTGTGCAACGTGTTGGTTTGGTACATTTATATATTGCAACATATACAAATATATAAGTGTTAACTAGCACCTTGATTATGTCACATAATTATCATTGCCTTTTTGTGTTGAGAACAATTAAGATCTAGCCTCTTAGCTACTTCGAATTTATGGTACAGTATCATTGCCTATAATCACCAAGTTGTGCATTTTAAAAGGCTGGTTTCTAAGCAACCGATTATTTCAGTCAGAGATGAAACTAATTCACTAAGGAAGGGAACTGGAATAAAATTATTTGCATATTTTGCAACTTGATCATTATCATTATTATGAGTCTTGAAATAGTAAAAAATATCTGAGATAAAGTATGTTGTCATCTAATGTCAAGTCTTGTTGTCCTATATAGAAACCCTAGATCGGCTCCAAAGGCAGAATGAGCATCTCATTGAGGCTTTGCAAGAACTAAATGCTAAACAAGGTAATTTGGAAGTGAGATGATTCTGAGTTCATGGTAATTCTTATTAAAGGCCTCATTCTTTGAAAAAGGAAAAATTATGAAGCAGTTAGACCTTGTTTGCAAGGATCTATAGGCTCAGAGTAATGAATATTTCCTTTCCTAGGAGACCAGTGTGGCCCTTCTCTGCCTCACTGGGAGAAATTCGGGGACTATTACTATCACCAAAGCACGGAAATGGTTTCTTGGTCAAACTGTTCTGATGTTTGTGCCTCTTTCAATGCTACATTTTTAACAACGACAAGGAATAGATTAATGGTGAGACTGTATTTCATTCTTTATTTCCAAATAAACAAACAGCAGGTCCCAGTCAACGGAAGGGCTCAGCTGCAGACGTAAAACCAAGGAAAAGGATGGTTTCTTGCTGAATTTTTTACGGACCTTTCCCGGTGTGCTGCATTTCAGCGCGCCTTTCTTTCTCAACGCACTGCGATGCCTTCCCTGCAGAGCCTGGCGCTTGCGTCCCCTTGGCATGCTGTGCTCTTTCAGCCACCACCGTGGCCAACAACTTAGTCTCCCTTAAGTGTTTGTTCAGGTGTCGCTTGCTGAACCAGAACTAACTCAACAGCGCCATATAATTGCAACCCGTGTATCATGTCCATCCCCCAAACCGGTCACCCTCCTCCTTCCGCTTCTTATCCTGCTCTCATTTTTTTATAGCACTTGTAACCTTTTTACATACCAGACCATTCCTAGGTTTGTTTCCCTCTGTCTGCCCCTCCCCACCCCCCGCTGTGAAGCAGGGATTTTTCTCACTTTTATTTAATGATATAGCTCAGGCTCAAAGACTAGGCACATAGTTGAATAAATGATAAAATGAGTTAAAACAATAATTCATTTTTTTGGAGACCTCTTAAATATAAGACTTTTCTGTTAGTTATTTTTTTCTTCTTTTAATTCCTGGTTTGAGAAATGTACAGACACTGCAGTACTGAAATATTTGTTGACATTTCATTTATCAGTGGGCATACATAAACTGCCTATTTTTATTTTTATAATTGTTTTTTCCTCATTTGACACAAGCTTCCTATTTTCATCTCTAATGCACTTTTTCTGTTAATATCTTTGTGCATTTTGGCTCCGTGCAGAATATCACGATGTTACCGTCAGTGAGTCGGGCTTGGCTTGGCCTCTCTTACAGTAAAGCAGACAATAGATGGGAATGGGAGGACGGCTCCTCTCCTTCTTTTGACCTGTAAGTATATGATTCAGTTCCTTAGTCCCTAGTCAACACCTTTCACCTGAAGTACTGAAGAGGGTACAGGTGATGACTGAAGACAGGATTTAGACCTTTTTATTTCTTACTTGCATTATTTCAAATTATAGTGTCAGTAATTTTATAAATTATAAAGTCATTGAGGTGTTTTGTAATTTGTATAAATATACATCTACTATTAGATGCTTTTATTACTATTGAGATAGTGAGTATAATATAGGGAAGAACCTAATTATATGAATTTTGGAACATCTTTAGTATTTTATTCAGAAAAAAGTACAGAATTGTTATTCTTCAGCCAAATAATTTGGGCCTTCTTATGGTTTCAAGTATATTACTAACTTGCTACCCAGAAATATTACATTAGACAACTATGACAATATGCATTATGAATTAACAAGCTCTTTCATCACTCTGTGACATTTGTATTTAATATTTCAAAGTCTTGATCATTTTGATAGCTGATTAATTTTGTTCTCTTAGGTTATCTTCTTCTAATGTTTAAAGAATCCATTTTTCTTATATGTATACAAGGGTGGGGAAAAAGTAGGTATACAATTGTTTGTATGAAAAACAAGTTATGATTCTTACAATAGTTTTAGTAAGTCTTTTTCATGTACTTAAAATTGTAAACCTACTTTGGTCCACCCTGTATGTTATAAGTACACACACACATAAGTAATATTCTAAACTTCATGAGTAGTTTTGTCTGATTTTATATCTAATGTAATGTATTGATCAACAAAATAGCCAATCTTCAACTGCAGCTACGCACGCATAGTTGAGTTGTTTCCCCCATGCTAATCTGTACTTAGGCAAAATTTTATAACCCAGGTCATTTGTTCTTTCATGCCATTGCCATAATTTTCCAACCAGCCCATTCTTTTCCTCTTTATACAGGTGTATATTTTCCAGCTTATAAATAATTATCCTATTTTATGAAGCTTATCTATTACTACATGCTTACCTCATTTCTTCTATAAATATATGAGTTCTTTGGAGACAGGAAGAGTGCCTTTATTCCTTGAGTTCCCCACAGCTCCTAGTATAATATACTTCACAGAGTATGGTCTTAAATAATGCTATTTTATTTTAATATAACAAGTATGACCTGTGACTTGTATTTTCTAAATTTCTCAGGAGTTTACCAACTCCAAGTCTGGATTTCCAGGGAAAATGTGTGTATGTAAATGCACATACCATTGGCACTGACAACTGCACCAAATCTTCTTCATGCATGTGTGAGAAGCCTGTCCACTAATAATTCAGAAGAAGAATGGAAATAAAAAGCTGAGGCTTGGATTCCAATATTCTAGATTCAAGATCTGCCTGCCTTCAGTCTGTTGTTATTGCATGGTATTCATACTTCTTTTTTTCATGGTAGGAAGAAATAAATGAGTTTATGAGAGAAGGACACAGTGTATGATTATAGCAAAAATATTATGGTAGCCCAGAAAACTTAGAAATTTCAGAGCCTTTTCGATGTTGTCAAAATTGTATAACAGTTAATAAACATGCCATTTGTCACGAATGAGTTTGGGGTCTTTTTACATTTCAAAATTTATTTATTTCTTTAGAATTGTGACTTCATGGAAGCAAACCTTTAGAACAAAAATGATGAAAAGTAATTAATAATTTCACATTTACAAAAATGGCAATCAAGTAGCATAAAGCAAAAAATATAAATGCACATTTAATTAAAATGCATTTCTGAAGTAATTTATTAAGTTGCTTGCCTAAGTCTACCTAGCAGAGTTTAAATATTTCAGTTTTGTTTACATCTTTTATTCCTTGCTTTTCCTCTTAGTAGAAAAGATATATTTCCTAACAAAGGTTACTTTTAGAGTCTAATCCATTCCCCCAACTTTGTTTCACATTTTTATGACATGTATTACGCCCTCACATATGAGTACATGCAACCACTTCCATTAAAAATGCCTTACCTTCAAGACATAAACGTATCCATACATCTTCCTCCATCCCACTAGATTCATGTCCTTTTCTAATCACCCCTTTTACAACTTTCTCTTCAACTTAAATGTACTTGAGCAAAGGATCTACACTGGTTATGTACTTTCCCACTTTCTAATCATTACTTAGAACACTGTTACACATTTTACCTTTTTTCCTCTTTATTGAGACTGCTTTTGTTTAAGGCAGTACTGATCTATTTGTCATTCGTTCATTTATTCACTCATAGTAGTTTCTGTCTTACACAGGAAGTTTAAATCATGAGTTCAATGTATGTTAATGCTTATGTTAATTATGTTATTTAATCTATCAACAGCTTTTTATTGGATCACTTGATTTTTGACATTATTGTTATCATCACCACCTTGGGACATAGTATCATTTTGTTTTCAACCGTTTGTCTTCCTTGGTTTTCTTCTTACCATTCTCATTCTGTAGTCTGTCTTCTTTATAAAATTCTCTCTAATAGCTTCCTAATGTTTTTTAGCTTGGGTGTTTCATTAGGAAACATTTATTTTATTTAGGATGACATTTCATTTATTGACCCAGGTTTAACAGAGAGATTTTAAAATTTTATTTATTTATTTATTTATTTGTAGAGAGAAAGAAAGAGAGGGAGAAAAGGAGGGAGAGAAATATTAATATGTGAAACATGGTTTGGGTGCCTCTCACATGCCCCAACTGGGGACTTAGCCCACAACCCAGGCACGTGCCCTGACCAGCAATCAAACCTATGATCTTTTGGTTTGTGAGACAATGCTCAACCTACTGAGCCACACCATTCAGAGCAAGCCTAAGAATTTTAATAATAAGTAAATAAAATAATATTGAGCATTTATTTAAAATGTACTCTGTGTCAAGTGTTGTTACAGGTGATTTATATATATTAATAAATTTGATTCTGAAGATAATCCTGTAAAGGTATATTGCAATATTGTACAGAAGAGAAAAGTGGTTAAATTTACTTTTCCAAGATACAGAACTTGTGAGGAGCAGAGCTAGAATTCGAACTCAGATATCTTAACTCCATTGTCCATGCTCTGAAGCACACTGCCATGCGTATCTTCTCATACACCTACTCAGAGAAGCATCTAGCCTAAGTATAATATGCCATTTAGTGACAGTGAAGATTATACTGAATGCCTTAGGAAACAATAAATAAAATTTTTAGTGATTCTTATTCAATAAAAATAGTGGTGAATATAGAAGACTATTCAGGTTTTTGCAGTTTTGCAGGATTGCAGTGATCGTTAAAGAACATTTCTCTGGGAAAGCATGTAAGAGGTACAACTCAGACTAAAGAGTGAACTAGGACAGGCAGTCTAGCAGATTTCATGCCTCGAGATATACCTTGAAATACAGCAGAAGCATCAAATTGTTTTTTGAATACGTGGCAAATCGGGCTCTTGGGGAGATATTATTTGAGACAGAGACCATTTTAATTAAAAGTGCTCTTGAGATCAATCCTTTGTGGGAGAGAAGGGCAGCATTAGACAGAATAAGCTGGGATGAACTCTCTACTGAGCCTCAGCCAACATCACAGGGATCTCCGGAGCTAGCAAAGTCCTTCAGAGTAATCCCAAATCGGGGTGCGGGCTGTGTTTTTATACCTCCTGTGTCACCCAGGCAGGGGTTGCAGGCGGATACAAGAAGAGTGATGATCTTGGGTAGGGCAGATGCCATAGACTGGGGACAATGTCTCAGGGCTGCGACTTTACAGCTGTTATGCATCAACATTCCCAGCATCTTTGGAAGTTAGTGCTATAGTTCTGAAGGGTAATCAGGATACAGTACAGTACTTACGACAGAATTTAATAAAAACCCTCAAACCTGAAGGATTGAGTTGGAATTAGGCAGAAGAAAGTCAATGTTACGGATAAGGAATTTTCCGGAGAGAATAAAGCATCGGTAAATGACATAAGGAAGAGGTTGTATACATTGCATCTAAAATGCATTGTAAGGAAAGACTGAAAAGCATTAAAGAACTCTTTATGGTGGAAAGCAGGGGAAGGGACTAGTCAAAAAACCTGTGTGAATGACCCGTGGACAGGGACGGCAGTGTGGGGACTGACGGTGGGGGTGGGGGCGAGGCGGCGGGGGGGGTGGGGAAGAGGGCAAGAGGGAAAATAGGGACAACTGTAATAGAATAACAATAAATCTTTTTTATTTTTATATATTTTTTTTATTGTTGTTTAAGTACAGTTGTCTCCATTTTTCTCCCACGAGTCCTCCCCTCCCTGTCCATCCTCACCTCCCACCCTTGATTCTACCCCTTTTGGTTTTGTCCATGTGTCTTTTATATGTAATACTTGATGATCCCTTCCCTCCTAACCTTTTTTTAAAAAAGATCCATTTATGGCTTCATACTGTTTAGCCCTGTTAAGTTTGTACTTAACTTGGTGGGAATCTACTTAAGTGTTTTAGGCAGAAGAATATTTAATCAAATTTGTGCTGTAGGCAGACCTCCATTGCTGTGACATGGGCAACACATGACCTGGGAGTGATGCTGGAGACTGAGCGCAGTACTGAACGTATTACAGTGATCAGAAGAGAGCTGTTGGTCATGTGGTAACAACAGAGGCATAATTATGAATTAACTTGGGAGAAGAGAAAGTTATATTCCAGGGTGCTTAGACACTGCCTACTGCATAGAAAGGAACACTCAGGAACCATTCAACTCCTCAGTGAAAGGTAGTGGGATAAACAGGGACAGTTTTTGTCCCATGAATTAGGTATTTAGATTCATGGATTCAGTCCAATGATATGGTTGGACAGCCAATTGGCTTATGACTCTATTCAAGAGGGAATAGAAGCCCAGAATGCTAAGGTGTGGACATAGTAAAATTGATATATCTGTGAACTATCCAGCTGATTATATGTTCTGAGAAAAGAACCTGGTTTGTTTCATGAGGACAGAAGGCTCAGAAAGTCTTATTTTATTAATTCCTGCTTTTCAACTCACATGTATATAATCAACATAGAACAAATGTAGCAAGGACAAAAATGCTCAAAGTACTAAAGTTTATTTTCACCAGCAAAGAGAGGGTTTTTAAATACACCCAAATAAAATAGACTCAAAGGAGAAAAAGGCACTTTTGAAAAGCCCTCTCCTTTTACATATTCAGAACCATGTTGCACTCAATGCCTCTCAGCCTGTTTGAGTGCCGAACAGGTATTGTTTTAAGGGGAAAAGACAAGAAATTTCTAAAGACATAAAGAAGGGAAATATCATTTAATTCATCCTTGGGTAATGGCAATGCTTTGAAAAAATTCAAACTGCATAGCATTTTGAAATTGACTTTAAGCTGATATTGTTTATTTGCAGGAGGAGCAACCCACTTCAGTGGGAATTTCAGTCATTTTGTTTGTTATTTCTCAGTAGTTGTAACAAAAAAGCGTCCACAGGGCAACATCGAAGATGAGGGAGGGTTTATACATCAGGGTTTTCATTCACACAAGACCACTAAATAGAAACAAAAGATGGAAAGACCTAGAATACTTAAAAACCAGGCAGAAAGTTGGTTTTGAGGTAATAATCTACATTTTTAAAATAATCTGCATTTGCCAGGGATCTGAAAGTTTCAGTTTTGTGAAATACAGTGTTTGCCCAAATTTAAAATGGGTTTCAAATCCCTTCTTACGTTGACTGACTTCATCATTATATAGATCACCTACTTGAGGTCACAAGATGGCTACTGCAGCTATGGATATTATATTCCCATAGCTTGAGAGATATTAAAAAGAATAACTCACATTTAATAGTTAATACCCAACTTTTCCCAAGATTGAGTTGCATACACTGAAACAATAATAGAAACCAGGGGAAAGCAAGGCGCAGTTTGAAGCTCATTGTTATTTCTCTTTTTGCATTTCACCAAGAAAAGCAAAAGGGAAGGGGAAATCTGTGTTCTCTCTGAATCCCAGCATGTGAAATAGGGTTAGCCACTTAAATGTTTCACTTGGGACTTACTGTATAATGCAACATATTTGCAAGGGGGTTAGGATGTGAACATCGTTGGGGGCTCTTTACTTTGCCTACCACATCCCTCAGTTCCTTGTGGGAAGAATTTGGATCACTGTTGTATGGCCTACTTCTCCTCCTGGGTAAATTCTTAGAGTTCAGGTCTGACGCCGGTGTGCTTGTCGCTAGTGACACTCTTGCTCTAGATGCTGAGTGCCTGGCAGATGGGAAGGTAACAGCATTAAGTTGACTGTAGATACTAACAATTTATTTTTCTACAGACAATTTAATGGGATGTTGATAGCAGCTGTATTGGAGATATTATACAA